AGCCGTCGCACATCAGGTTCAAACATAGAAGAGCGAGACACCAAAACGCTTAGCTTAGCATTCTCCAAGAGCAGAGCGAGAACTTCAGTCATGCATAGACCAGCTTTTTGGAGCCTTCAACTTGGGAACTCCTTCGGTTGTGATGCTTGTGATGGCCTATGCCATGGGTCGTTAGAACTTGTACAATCTTGTACATCTTGTACCTGGTGAATTCTGTTGCTTTTTGGAATCGCATTGCCGACAACTCTTGTCGCATATCACACTCCATTTCCTCATCATGCTTCCCCCGAAAGGCCCCTGAAGTAAGCCGGTGCGTGCGCGGCTTAGGCCGCATCTGCCAGTCGGCAGATCATGTGTACGTGCAATCGATTTGGTGCCCTCGCTGGAGATCAAGGCATATGTCACCACATGCCTCCGAAATTTTCTCATCGTTCCGAGCAAAAAGTTCTCCAGCAAGATGCATCCTGCCCTCACAGGTTAGTTTGAAACGTAAATACATGTCCGGCCTGTTAGCACCTAATCCTCTGCCCTTTCCATCCTCCGGAGAGCAATTACTCTCACAGATTTGGCCGCCAATGAAGCTGCCATAGCTTCAGGAATCGGTGCCCATGCACACGTGGCCTAACCTCCAAGGCTTGTGGTCAAGGCCAAATTGTCTGAGTCTGCGAAGGCTTGGTCCATTTGGCGTCGAGTTGGTTACATTGAAGAAAACGGCAACAACATGATAGAACCTTCATGTGTATTCAACATGAGAACAAGCTCAGTCTGTGGTTGAATTTCCGTCTCAGCACCGATCCTTGCCCAAACTCAGGTGTCCGGGTTCAAGCGTCGTTCATTGGGAGTTGGCTAGCAGACTCGCCGCCTAAGGCCACGCAGGGGCAACAAAGGGACGCCACCGGGCAGCGCTCATAAGGCAATGAGTCTAGCCTCGAGCATGGGAATTTTCAAAGTTGGATGAGGTCGGAATCTCCAACAGATGACCCTGATCCTCATCCAACTTTGCGATTGACTTGATAATTGAATAAAGCAACAGTGCCTTTGTGAAGCTTGGCCTCCTTCTCGGACCCTAGGCCGGACCCCCAAAAGAAAAGCAACATAGCTATGCTCAGATCTTGTCATTTTAAGACTTGCACTTTGGGACCGGGCTTTCTGTAGGGTCTCCAGGTCGAGGCTCTCCCATGCTCAAATCACTTCAGCGACTGCTTGGACCCCAAGTCACGGTGACCAGCGGTTCGAGCCACGCCTACGGCCATGGCCAGCTTCCGTTCGGCGTCACAGCCGAAACTCGGCTCCACTTGAAACGAGTTCGCGCCACCGTGCCAGTCGTGTGACACAAAGGCTGCGTTCATCATCTGCCTCATCCAGGTTTGGGATCTGAAGGCACCAAAGTGGTGCAACACTGCCGCAAAGCGCAGCAAAGCAAGCAGCCGATCGTTCCACCCTTAAAGGCATTCAAGTTCAAGTGTTGCACGGTCATGGTTCTACTATATGAATGCTTGGAACCTTCGGCATGGAACCCTCAAATGGAAACATGAGTTCCGCCAATCTCTGTGCACTTGGCAAAGCAGTGGTGACATGTCAAAGCGCAGTGATCAAAAGAAAAGGCCTGCAACTTACAGTACAATACAGCAGCCCATCTGCACAAAATCCCTCTCAGAGAACCAACTGGGATACGTGACGAAGCAGCACCTTGCCAGTCACCAAAGCATCCAGAAAATCTGTGCCAATCGGGCAATTCTCGATTGATGTTAGTTTTGGGGTGTGAAAATCATCCCAGGCTCGTGCGAACACCTGAACCAACGAAGTGCACCTTGAAACCTCTCTCATCTGGAAAGCTGCCCCGAATCTCATCTCCAATATGGCGACTTTCGGCGGCATGTCCAGCGGACAGGTTCTGGTTGCAGCAGTCTCCCTTCTTAGCTGCCGGGAAGGCCACAGCACAGCAAACCGAAAACGAACCCCAACCTAAACTGCATCGATGGAGGGAAACCGCCGTAGCCACAGGTCACTGAGTTGATCACAGCAGGGGTGGGAGCAAAAGCATAATTGCAATCTTTCTTTTCTCAGGTAGTGGTCTGTCGTGGAAGTACTGTCACGGACTCACGCAACGCACGCAAGACTATTATTCAAACGCTCACGCTTGACAAATTGCAAGCAAAACCTGACAGTATCTGGTACATATGTGACATGTGGTGTTGCAAAGGCTGCACCCCCCAGTCGGTCAATGGATGTCAATGGTGAGGGCTTGAGCAAGGAGGGAGGGTCCAAAGGTCTCAAAAGTGGCAAGTACTGTTTTTACTGTGCTACCTGGGTCAAATGGCCGCACTAAAACCTGTGCAGGTGATTGCCAACACGGTTCATGTCATATTTATGGGCTAGGGCCAGGCCACTGCTGATGATCAACTATGAAAGTGGGCACCTGTGGCTGACCTTCTACACTGATCGGCGTCGCGCACGAAGCACGCGGGGCGGCCGGCTCAGCCCGAGCTGCTCGAGCTGCTCTCGTGCAAAGGCAGCCAACAAGACCCCATCCATCCAAACACATTGACAAAATGCTTCAGTTTCAGTCACTTGTGGAAAAGACGTGAATAGGCCACTCATGGCTTGGAAGACCCCCAGCAATCTCACTACAAGCCAGTTGAGAGCACTTCGGGCAAAACCTTGTTCTGATCGAGCTTTGGAGCTTTGCCACCCAAGCTGATGATTTCGGGAGATGATCTCATGACATCTTTACAGCAGGACTTTGCCTGGCTGTGTTAGTTTTGTTCGTGCTCAAGGCGTGTTCATCAGCTCAGCACTCGAGATCGAAGAGCTATCGTACCAGGCACTTGTCTGCTGGAAAGCTGCAAGTGCTACCGGGTGAGGGTACAAAAAAAACAAGACGCCTAAGATCACCTTCTAGTGGCCAGGCATTACAGTCCTCAGCTGCCAGAAAGGATGCCAAAGGTATGAGGTTAGGATATCCGATTTTTGACACCATTCTTGACACCAGGCTCATCTTTGGGTTCTCATCCCCTCTTTCCAAAAAATTTGCTCTCCAATATTTAACATGATATAACATGAACAAGAATCTCTTGGACTCTTCAGTACTGCAGCGTAGCATCAATTTGGAGCACAGCTAGGCCGGCACTTGTTGACACCAGGAAGGGCACATGGTTTCCACCAAGAATCCCTGAAGATGAGGAAAACATGGGATACACAGGTTGGAAAATATCTGCAGATCGTTTGTCTATCAAGCAATCCATCAACAACCATTATCAAGCAGATCATCGCAATCCTTCAACTAAAATCGACAGAAAGGCCTAAACATGTGCTTTGGCGCCTCTGGCGTTCAGCAAGCCAAACCTGGAAGGGCTTGGTGTGGGAGTGTTGCGGTACTGGGACGCTTTGATTTTCGTGGCAATGCCATGCAATGCCTGTGAGCTCCACTGTATCAAAGGCAGACACCTCAAATGCACAAATGAGTGTGGGGTGAGGGGGTCCAATTTCACCCCAGCTTTTGCGATATGTCCCCGCTGTGCAGAACTGCAGCTCTCCCAGCACAAATCTCTGAACCAAGGTCAAAGGGCATGGAAAACACCCGAAATACAATATATTTCAATATGATTCACGTGATCGAAAGCTTTGGCCCAGCCCGCAAGCACGGGCAAAACCGTTTTGGGTGTCCGGCTGGGCGACCTGTGCCGTGCTCCTCAGCGTCTGACTCTGTCTCCGTGGCCATAGTGCTAACCTCAGGGCCCCGTCTGACTGACGGAACGTCTTAGAGCTTTATAACGTTGGGGTGAAGGAATCCATACTCGGGGATTTTTAGGTTGATGTGAGGACAATGAATATGTGTGGGTCGGCTGTGGACCGCAGTGTGGTCAAGGTCTAGATTGAACTGATCGTGGAGGTGCAACTGGGCTTGACCCACTGCACCAAGCCTCAGGGTGCTGTCCTTATGTTATAGCTCAGCTAAGGTTGAAGCTCTCTCTCTCTCTCTCTTGCGAGCATTATTTCTCTGTGACAACACTTCAGAAAAGCTTTAGCCGCTTGGATGAACTGCTACACTCGAAACCTTTAGCTCATTTGCTCTGGTGTAGGTTGCCTGCAAATGCCCCACACAATAGTAGGAGCACCCAGGTGAAGCGACACTAAAGCATCTGCTCAAACCAGCCTAGCCACTCGACTGGGGTTCAATGGCTTAACATGGTGATACCAAATTGGTTTATGTAACTTATCTATACTGTACTTATCTCACACATCTCTCACAAAAATCGCCGTCTGTGACTGCCAAGATGCTGAATTGCTGGAAATACCTCTCCTCCATTGACCTGCGTATCGATCGAGGTGGGCAGGGGTCAAAGCTCTGCACATCTCCCATTCGCTTACGTTTGACGTCCCACCACCTTGAGTGGTTGGAGCTGCAACCCACTTGCAATCCCAAATCGAGCGTTGCGCCTGGTGTTCGGCAAAATTGGAGCCATCTCCGTTTTGAAATGAGTTGTGATGAATACAATACTTGTTCAATGTTTATCTGGTCCTCCTTGTTGCTGCCCAACCTCAGTGACAGGCACAAATGAGTGGCTTTCTGCACATGAAAAGGAGCATCAGCCACTCTCTCTCTCTCTCTGTCGGGGGACGCGTTGGTGAAACCAGGAAGTGCCTGTGGTAAATCTCGGCTCAGGAAGTTCAGTGCCGGGCTGAAGGAGACCGTATCTCTGTGCAGGTTGAGTGTGCAGCAGTGCTGCCATCATGTCTATAAAGGCTTCTGAGAAGCAGCCGGCCTCAGAGTAGTAACCAAGAACATGGCGCCCAACCCCAAGTGGAAACATGTTCACCACCCATGCACATCAACAGGATCACATCACAGAGTGAGTCCAGATCTCGGCCAGGATGTGTCAGACCCGTCGGGGGTTGGGGGCGAGGCTTTATGTCTTGGAGGAATCTCTCTGAGCTCAACTACCGCTCAAGTACACCGGACTCTGTCTGTGCGTCCCGTAATGGTAGGCCGAATTATCTTAGCTGCAGGCAATTTCACGCCGCTGCAGGAATGGCAAAATGCCGTGACCTCAGAAAATGACGCGGGGCATGCTGCATGATAGAAAACAAGAAGGCCTTCCAAAGATATAAAGATCAAAGCCTCACTCACTAAAGTCCTCCCTTGCACTCTGAGGGCCCTGCAGGAGACCCAGTCGAAAACCCGAGAGCGACCAGGCTTGGTGGATTGCCACGGGTAGTTTCCCAACGCCATGGCCTCGGCATGTTCTAAAGCCAGTTGTTCTCCAACCAAATACGATGTCTTGAAGCTGGGTTCAAAACATAGACGACGACCCCCAAGGAGAAGGTGTCAGCCAAAAAGCCATCGTATTCGCCTTGGGGCGAAACAGGCCGGAAGCCAGCGCCTAGTAGCAAGGGCATTACTGCTAGTAGCATGAAGCTACTAGTAACAAGGGCATCGCTACTAGTAACAATAACGTTCCTGACATGTTCTGACGTTCTGTCTGAGGCTCTCGCGTTTGAGATGAAGCTCCGGGGCTTGATAGGATGGCTTCCCTGGTACGCGAGCATTGATCACACAATCCTATGAAACAAACGAGGGCAAAGAGTTGTAGGACTAAGCATCCCTCACTCTCATCTCAAACACCCAGCTGATTGCAAGGCTTCCAAAGGTGTTTTTCTCTTTGGGTCATGCAAATCCTGCACCCTCACGTGCGTTCCGTACTGCCCGAAAACTTCCAAGCGCCTGGACCTTAAGTACTCCTCCCAAATGTGCCTGGACCTAAGGTGGTGGCTGCAGGGCACCAGCGCCCCAAATGTGCCATGCCAAAGTCGATGAGCTTCACCAACTGCGGAGACTCCCCGCAGCCTCAAGAGCGCTTGCACATCTGTGTGAGTGAAGTGTGTGTGTGTGTGTGTGCATGGATTTCAGATTCAAAGTGAGGTGTTTGTAGTTTGGGGCATCCGTGCTTACGAAGGTGATGAACGATGATTCATGGCGATTCATATTCAAAGAAGCACGTACGTGGGCGATTCATGGCGATTCGTCGCTTCCAGTCACCCCATGAGATCCTCCTTGCACCCAGCTTGCCCAGGCCTGTTAGCAAAATGTTCTCCAGTGAAAGGTCACGATGCGCTATCCCCAGCCTGAGAAGGCCAGCCAGGCATTCTCCAGAGTGAGAACGAGACTGAGGGTTGAAAGATCTAAGGGCCTCCAACCTACTAGCGATGGCCTCCAACAATTAAAGAATTCAATGACACCCTTGCGTCACCATGAAGGTGCACCAGCCATGACGCCAAGAGGCGTGTGAAGCCATTCCACCGCAGAGAAAGTCTGAGCCACCAGTGGGAGCATTTCCGCCTTGAAATTCTGCCATGAGATTGTGGGAATCTAAACGCAGGAGATTGCAAGGGGGGGTGATGGGAGGCTGTGCAGGCTCCAGGCCCTGATAAGTAAGCACTGATTGTTGTGGCCGGTGGCAAGAGCAAATAGCCAACTAGCTTCAGCTGACGTGCTCAGGGTCCAGTGACCAAATCAATCCAAATCAGTTCCAGCCTCTCGATCAGGTGTTGGAACCGGGTGATTCAAGCACCAGGAAAACAGATCACCTGCAACACATCACGCCGCTCTACGGCGGCATGCTCATTTTGATGAGGACTCGCATCTAATTAAGAACAATTGCTGAACATGTCTGGAGGACAGGCCAGCGTTTCAAGTTTCAAGAGGCGCAAAATCCAAAACATTGAGAGATGCCCGCCTCCACTAGCCAATTCACTTACGGCCTCAACAAGGGCAACTGGATGAGACACATGAACCATGTGGGTCAAACACATGAACCACTTCTGGGGCGTTTCGCGCTTTGTGGCACTCCCTTAGTCTCAGGCATAGGTGTAATGGTCGTCTCTGAAGACATCCATCAGCCGGCACGTGGGATCGAAACCCTGCCAGCCAGTGAGTGCTGATTCAAAAGAAACATGCACTGACACACTGATATAGTATATATATAGTTATATATACAATTATATATATATTTATATATATATGTGTGCTTGAAATACCCCGGGACTGAGCCATCAACCCTCACATTGCAGGTTCTGTTATATAATTATATTATACAGGTTTTCACATCTACCGCGGCTAGCTTATCAAGCAGGATGTCTTCCTGAATTTCCACTCATCCGATCTGCTGGGGGGTGCAGGGTGGTCTTGACTGCTTGGAATGGCTTGGACGATGGGTCTTTTCGCTCACACCAGGATGCCTTGTTGGTGAGCTCTTGAAGGATAGCAATGCTTCGCCAAGGGCACTCGCATTCGCTGGGATGCTTTTTGGCAAATTCCTTCGGGCCCTTTTCCACCCACCCTCAGCAAGGCTTTGAAACGCCACTGGCACCTCTACATGTGAATTGGAGCATAGCAATCACACATTATAGTGCATGTTGGTATATGTGGCGACGTTGGGCAATATTCAAACATAGAACTTCCATGAACTTACAAACATAGAAGCTATATGTGCACAAAACATCTAGGAACCTAAATCAATCATGCGAGATGCCTGTTAGCCTTGCTAGTACGTAGTTCCTTGCTTGGGGGCCTGCCTCTCCACTATCCCGGTGGTTGCATGACAAGGGGAAAACGCAGGTGTTCGCCCTCAGCATCGACAGTCCTTGCTTTGCACTCCGGGCTCAAGCAGTTGGCGAGCCAGGAAAAGGAACAGGAGAGCAGAAATAGAGTAGAAGCGAAACACAGAAATACCGAGGCTAATAGAGAAGAAAAGAAACAAAGGGGACAAAGAAGAAACAGGACACCTGTTTCTGCTTCTCTCCTGTGTTTCTCTGTGCGGAATCGCAGTTCAGAGTTGCGGAATCTGACTTTATCCCTTCCACATTTCTCTTCTTCACTGTTTCTATCCGTCTCTCTGGAAAAAGGAACTGACAATTAGAAAAAGGAGCGATGTTCCCTACCCCAAGTCCAAACCCTAAATTAAAAAGACAACTACAGTAACCACAAAGAAGGAGAAGAAAAACAAACACATAGAAAAGCGGAATAAGGATGAGAAACACAAAGGAGATGTGGAACAAAGGAAAACAAATAAAAGGAGAACACACAATAAGGCATCCTGTCTTTGTGTTTCCTCTATTTCTCTCCTGCTCTGTGTTTCTGTGTTTCTCTGTTCCTCTTCTCCTCTGTGTTCTCTTTCATTCCTTCTCTGTGTGTCTCCATTTCTCTCCTTCTCCGCTCCCTGTTTCTCTCTTGTTCCTCTTGCTCTGTGTTTCTCTCCTTTTGTTCCTCTTCTCCTCCTTTATTTATTATGTTCCTCCCTGTGTTCTTCTGTTCTGCTCCTCTCGTCTGCGTCCTCTATGGCTCCTTCGTGTTCTCTGTGTTCCTCTTCCTCCTGTCCTTCCTTCTCTTTGTTCCTTCTCAAGTCAAAAACTACAAACCTTCTCACATCCCTACCGAGCCGTCTGTGCTTCTTCCTTCTTGGAATTGGATTTGCAAGCGAGCCACTGTTCGGCATCTTTTTCACTGCCTGCAGGAGTACGGGTGACTCTACCCTTCAACTTACTTTGGCATGTCATCATCATCATCTTAACTGACTGATCAGCATAGTCGCTGTTTTTCTGAAGGCTTAGTTAACGCCTTTGGACTTTGGAGTAAACATACTTTGTCCTTCAGAATGTTCGCCCCTTTGCATGTTCGGATTCCGGATGTGTGTAGTGGACATCCGTCGTGGGCCAAGTTGCCACTGTGCAAGAGTATCTGCTGCCATTCATCATATCCTTGGCTAAAAGCATGCCAAATGTGACGTGAATCTGAGCACATGTACAGCTTGCTACAGCAAAACAAGCTCCGCTTGGACCCTGGTAGCCACATGTTCATCTGATTCACGAACTGCTGGCTCAGCGTCAACACGCCCATGGTTCCGTCCAGCATCTTCGATTTTCTTTACGTACTGGAAGCTGCCGGACCTCGTGGGATTTTCATCGATGACTGAAAAGAAACAACATATTTAAAAAAACACAAAACCACAGCTCTGTTTTTTTGTTCTTTCTTCTGTTTTTATTCTGTGCGCAAGGGCGTTGGTCAATATCTCACGCCCTCTTGTTTGACATAGGCGCCGGAATGGGTGTCGGGGCAACGTAGGGTGCAGCAGGTAGCATGGTTCTATTGGCTTCATTAATCACATCCTCCCAACGCCGATGTTTTTGATGTCACAAAACAACTGCTTTAATGATCTTTGATGTCAAGGGTGTATATTGGTAGAATGCTCTGTCTGATTTCTGGTTGACCATGATCATGAGAGCACGCAAGAACAACATATGTATATATATATATTATATATATGTGTGAGTTATTACTTAAGCATTTTATAGCTATATGAACCAGAGACTGAAGGCATGAATTCAAACAGCTCTCTGGCTCTAACTCTCTCTCTCCCTCTCACTAACTCTAAATCTAGATTCTTTCCCTCCCTACCTTCCAACGAGCATTTGGACTGGGTTCCAAGCTCCCACGGTTTCACATTGGCCGCAATGGCGCTGCAAGTCTTCTCGAGCTCTTCAGCCGTGATTTCCTGCGAGTTCCATAATGACTGCCTTCCATAGACCCCCGGCACACACAGGCCCAAGTCGGGGAATCTCTCGTTCTTTCTACATCCACCGGTGCTGATGGGCATAAGGGTGCCCACACTGAGTTCCTGGGGTGTTATATAGTCCGTGTTTTTTTCGTTTGGGAGGACACATGCGTATCCTGCATCATGAGGTGTGTCTGTAGGTGTGGTGGAAGAAAACAAGCAAACACACGGGCGGAATGGAAGGTTTTGCAATACTTATTTGATATGGAGGAGGCGTGCCATATGATCTGGGAGGTGGTACAAATGATGCAAAAATGACACATTAATGATGAAGTCAATCTACGGTATGGTACCTGTCGCCTTTAGGTCACCATGAACATTGCACCTGAGAAAGGAGAGGGCGAAAGCCAGCGAAAGACGTGCAAGACTGGGAGGAAAAAGTAGCGGAGCACTTATTGTTGAATGCCTGTAGCTTTCGTGGAGCTTGTATCAACGTGGAGTAGATCAAGATCGGAGCACAGTATGAAGTGTTGAATGTTTTAAGTTTTCTCGATTTTCCTGGCGCGGTGCTCTCTGGAGCGTCCCTGTTTGGTGGTCTACTTGAGAGTCCATGTCAAAATAAACGTCAGTGAAGACCACGAGAAGGATACCCGAAAGGTGGTGATGGTTGTTTTGAAACGTGTTTCGGGCATCGTGCATCAATGCGAAGCCCTATAAAGAGCAGGGCTGGGAGGAAAAAAGGAGAGCACTCATTCTTGAATGGTTGTAGTTTTCGTGGAGCTGGTATCACTGCGACGTAGATGAAGATCGGAGCACGGCATGAAGTGTTGAATGTTTTCAGTATTCTTGATTTGCTTGGTGCGGCGCCTTCTGGAGCGTCCCTTGTTGGTGTTCTTTTTGAGAATCCGTGCAAAAATAAACGTGAGTGAACACCAGGAGAATGATGCCTGAAATGGTTTTTGTGGTTGTTTTGAAGTGTGTTTCGGGTATCGTGCGTCAATGCGAAGCCCTATAGAGAGCAGGGCTGGGAGGAAAAAATAGCAGAGCACCTATGGTTGAAAGCTTGTAGTTCCGTGGAGCTGGTATCACTGCGACTGAGATCAAGATTGGAGCACAGCATGAAGTGTTGAACGCTTACTTCTCCTCTTGTCGGCGATCTTATCCCCAAGTTGCTTGGTCCTTCTTGGTATGATCAGAGCTACACTGTCCCTATGCCCCGCTCAGGACTAGAAAAATTGTCTCCAGACCCCTTCATGATGCTAATGATGCACCACTCGGCGTCCATTGCATCACTCGCATCACCAGACCCCATTTTCACTGCTTTTCTGACCCTCGCTTTGGAGCGCTCTCCACCAAGCTCCGGGTTGACCCTCTCAAATCATCCCTTAACTCACTTCGTTCGCTTTAAGAGCTCAAGCCTAGCCTATCGGCTGGCTTTCGTAATATATATATATATATATAGTGTATTTTAATCACTCTTTTTGGATCCTCCTTGAAATTGTACATTTTTCAGGCGGTGTCCAATTTGTATCCAACAATGCCTGCAAGTTTATTGTAGTCAATCGCGTGTGCATTTTTCAAAGAGGTCCAACTCACATCAAACAGTGCATTATTCCGATTTGAACATAATTGCCATTCATCCGCTGCATGGTGCTTGTTTGATATAAGACCTAGACGTGAACGGTAATTACTGAGATTCGCGGGCATTGTTGGATATTATATATATATTATATTATATGTATATATGTGTGTAAGTTGGACCCCTGAAAAAATGTACAATTTCAAGGGTGTCAAAAAATAGCGATCCATAGCGATCCCCTGGAAAATGTACAAGTTCAAAGCAGTTGAAAAACCGAGCGACTACAATTAAAAACTATATACAATAAACGTCTAGTCCTTCTGATTCGGATACGCATCATCTGGGGTGTTGGCTTGGACATGACATGAACTACACGAACTGCCTTTCTTTGCTCTCTCCCTCTCTCTCTCGAAGCAAACGGTGCAGGCGGTTGTCGCCGCGAAGCGGCCAGAATTTTTTTTTACTCAAAGCGACCCGAATCAAACTGACCCGCCAGCTCAAACTCGCGAAGTAGAAATAAGTAGAATGTGGTTTGACTGGCAATCAAAGAACATGACATGAAGCACATGGCAATGGCGCTTCACCAGCCCAGTGCCACGACCAAAAGTCCTGCATCAAACCGAGCCTTGGGCCTCAGCCGCAACTCTTTGACCCTCAGAGTGTGGTGAACCCGCACAGTTCCTCAAAAGTATTGCAACCTGCGACAGGTCGTAGTGTTGCATCCACTTTATGCAGGCTCTATTGCTTGCCCAGTGGCAGGGTCACAG